TTTAAACATAAGGAAAAACGTCTTTTGACATGGTGACCCCCGGAATTGACTCAACTCTGGACCCAACTGGACTACATCCCTATCAACTACTGGTGGAGACGCTCGGTAGAGGACTGCCATTTATTCTGGAACACATGTTTAGATCCAGATCATGCTCTGTTGCGAGCGCGTACTTGTCTTCGGCTTACTAGACGTAAGAAAGACGGCAAGGAAACCCCTTAGAGTTCTACTTGACGATAGCAAAGCGAGGAGCATATTTCAAGAGCAGCTAAAAAATCAGCTATGCAGCCATGTATGTAACGCCCACCGTGAAGCAGCTTGGAATGATGTCCAAATAGGTGTAGAAGAAGCAGGGATATTTGCCAGTAAGATAATCCATAAGGTTACGTAGGAACAATGGTTTTTAGTGGCATCTAATGAACTGATAGATGCTCGATGGTGGTCACCAATGGTCAGAGACCTTGAACGACATGACTCAGAATCGTTTGCAGTGGCGCAGGTGCACCCACTCTTTGTGTGCTTCTTAATTCTAACCTTCTGAATTCTTCATAATCTCTATCTTTCTCCTTCTAAATTTATCTCACTGAATTATGCTTGTTGAATCTTATCTTTGCTCCCTAATCTTCTCCATTGCTGCTAATAATTTTACATCGCTATCACTCTTGGATTTGAATTGACAGTTACGTCTCTGTGCTGACGTGGTATGGCAACCTGAACTGATGTACTTATGTACGAAGTTCTGTGTTGTATCTGTCTATCTGTCAGTCGAAAACTCACCTTGTTTGGCTTTAAATACGATGAAGAGCAGAGGCAGCTTAAACACAGGCTGATATGAAGCCTAGGCAATGATCGTGAACACTAAGTTGGTAGTGAAAAGAGATGGGAAAGGTGGCAGTGATCATTAACAGTCAGTCAGTCAGTTACAACGTAGAAATTCGTACGTAGTATGTACATCAGTTCAGGTTGTCATATTGCATTAGCACAGAGACGCAACTGTCAGTTCAAATCTCATAGTGGTAGAGATAATAGAATTAGCGGTAATGGAGCGTATTAGGGATCAAAGCTATTGTTCAGGAAATATAATTCAGTGAGATAACTTCAGAAAGAGAGAGATGGAGATGATGAAGAATTCAGAAGGTTAGAATTTGAGAGAACACAGAATAAATGTACCTGCGCCATTGCAAACGATTCTGAGTCATGTCATTCAAGGTCTTCAACCATTGGTGACTTTTGTCTCGCGGACCCCAACCAGATAGCCTACATCTACCAACATGACTCAGTCCACTTGTCAGTGACTTCATGGATTTGTGCGATATTTTGATCTGGCCACCCCTAACTTTCTTCCAACCTACTCATACACCACAAAACAGTTCGTCGAGGCAGTCGGTGGTTAGGCATACGTAGCACATGTCCCAACCACCTCAACTGATGAAGTTTCAATACTTCATCTATTGATTTGACATCCCTACCTATTACTCATTCCCTAACGATAGACTTGCTTACTCAGTTGTCCCAGGATATACGAACACTGCTTCGAAGACATCTTTGATCGTATACTGATAACCTACGAAAGTCATCTACCCTTACCGGCCATGTTTTGCATCCATATAGTAGAACGGAGCGAAATACTGTACTGTAGATCCGACGTTTGGTTAGCAAACGGATATCTCGCCTACGCCATAGAAGGTCCTGAAAAGGCACACGAAGATAAAAGTATGTCTACGACAAAGCTAAACAAGAATGGAGAGAGTGGATAACCCTGACGGACACCACTTAATGTAAAGAACTCCGATGGCAGTTCACCATAAGCTCTCACCCGACCAGTAGTGTTCGAGTAAAGAGCTTGTATAAGGTTGATGTACTTCTTTGGTATACTTTTTATTGACAGACACTGACACAGAACCTCATGATTAGCAGAGTCGAATGCCGCTTTAAAGTCGAGAACGTCGGAACGTGTGTCTATGTTCTAGGACCTGACATAGTGTGAATATATGGTCTATACAGCCACGTCCAGGTCGGAAACCAGCCTGGTATTCTCTAGTTTGCTTTTCACCAGCTTTGAGGACAATGTTTTCGATACTATATTAGTTAGGCTGATTCCTCTGTGATTGTCACAAGGACAATCAGAGATTGAGACCAGTTGGATGGGAATTCGCCAAGTTCCCATACTCTGCCTAGGATCTCGGTCAATCCAAGTGTTACAACTGGAACACCATCCTTAGCCTATCAGGCCTTACTGCTCTCCCGGGCTTTGCCACTCAGGATTACTGGAGATCGTGGGCAACCGAAGTCTGGCTGAAGGCCAGTTAAACTGATCCCTAAAGTGTTCTGCCCATCGGTCCAATCTCCTGGATTGAGAATAAATGATACAGCCATCCTTTTCTGAGATAGTCTCACTCACATTCGGGTTCCTAATACCGGTTTCTTTGATAAGGCGGAATAACTGTTGCCTATTGCCGCTGCCTTTTCCATCGCTTTTGCTTTCGCTACCTACCACTATTCGCGGTCGTTGCGTATGCTTTTTATCAGCTGGCGCCCAAGCTGACTTCACTCTTCATCATGTTCGGAGCCAGGTTAGATATGTTTTTGAGCATCCATCAGATCGGTGGATGCTAATGAGATCCACGGCTTCTTCCTAGCCTTATGGTTTACCTTACTAGCAGATATCACTGCTGTTTTCATAGTTTTTTTGATATCATTCCAAGCTGTCTCAAAGTGCGAATCACTAACTACATGGCCACCTAACTGGTTTTCTAGTTGTTCCTGAAATATATTCGCAGCTCTGCTATCATTAGGTAGAAATTACCCTTAGAGGTTTTTTGTGGTGTTTTTCCTATGTCCAGTAAGCCTCAAACTAATACGCGTTCTCACTAGAGCTTGATCTAAATCTAGACATGTGCGTCAGAACGATCGACAGTTTTCTGCCAGAACCCCTCCATCGCTGGCTGGTAGCGATGTGATCTAGTTGGGTCCAGCGTTGTGACAACTTTAGGGATCGCCAGGTCAAAAGCTGTTTCTCCTTACGCTTAAAATTAGTGTTTGCTAGAAATAGTTGGTTATCTGAGCACAGTCGCAACAGGCGGTCGCCATTATCTGTTTTCTGAGCCGCGACACCATAACATCCACCAAGGTATCTTTCCTCCTCACTTAGTCTACCTATTCGAGCATTGAAGTCACCAGCCATTATAACTATATCAGAGCGCTTAACTTTTCAGAGGAGGTCCGAAAGCTTTCTGTAAAACTCATCTTCTACATCGTCTGAACTGCAGTCAGTGTGGGCGTAGGCTGATATGACGAAGAGGCAACGGCGAGTGTCCCTATACTTCCGAGTCCTTACTGTCCCGTTTAGTCAGATGGCGCACAAGCGACTATCTACAGGGATCCAATCTAAGAGAGCTAGTTCTGCCCCAGGACTCAACGCTATACCTACACCAGCGAGACCCCAGGAAGCAGCATCAGGGCTACCGGATACACGAAGGGTAAATCGAGTTGCTTCCTTATCTTGACATGGTGAGGTCAAGTGAATGATGCTACTCCGATCCTGTATGCGCGTTTCGGAGACGCAGCACACACCGATGGCGCGAGATTCCAATGTCCTAGCTGACGAAGCCTGTTGCCCTATTTGACATAATGTCCGTACATTAAATTCTCCAGTATGTAGTTTGGAATGGGGCTTCAAGAGACCAGGAATAACGTTTCGAGGACTCGAATGGTTTGCAGCAAAGGTTCAGGGAGATAAAGGAATGTGAGGAGAGTTAATCGTGGAGATAAGAGAGGTATTAGGGGGTGTAGGGAGGATTTGGTTTTGACCAATTCGGTCTCGCGTGTTGTCACTGGTATGAGGGCGGTTGTCACTTCCAGGCTGCCCACACTATGGAAGGGTGTTTCTTGAGGGACCTGAAAAAGAAGGTAGATTAGTGTCGGTCTTAGAGACCTGGGTGCGTGACCGCAGAGCCCAAGGGACAACTGCTTGAGGCCGGTCACGCACGGCCTTTTTATTAAATGTTTGCTGAGTATTAACTCCGCTCTTAAAAGCCCTTAGTGAGCACCCTTAACACCGCAGACGGAAGTCCGTGAGGTAGGGAGGTGTGACATTTTTAGGCTCAACCTTCTCGAACCCTTTCCTTCCTTGTGAGAAGGGAGCATCGCTGCTGATGCTGGTTGTCCGAGGGGAACACCTTACTGCTGTCACACCTCTTTGCAGTAAGCAGTACGACTTCGTCCTGAGACCTTGAGTAGCTACTTTTAGTCTGATCGTCTCCGGTCCGCCTGCCTGGCATGTTAGAACCTTCAAGAACATATGTTCCAGCCAGTATAGTTCGGTTGGGTCATCACGATAGGCAAGCCCGACCACCACGTCAAGGTAGCAGCTACGGTCGGGGAACATATCTGTTGCTTAATATACCTTCTATTCAATAAACTAATTATACTTTTTGTTCAAAGATTGGTCATTAAGTTACTACGTTAACTCGCTGCTTTGTACTTCTTACACTGAATTCCATCAAAGATAATGTTTTTGTCATTGTAAGGAAATAGTAGTGAAAATATACGTATTTAAGAAAATTATCAGTACTTTCAACATATTCACACTTTGGATGATATATTTTCAGCCCATTTTTGTTTCAAGAAAGATTAAGTGACTCGCTGATGTTGGCTATGCTGAACTTCTTCTCTGACCATACTAAGTCGCAGTATTTATCAAGCTGCTAAAAATGGCTCAGATTTTCCAGTATAAATAAGTCTCGTATAGATAAGTTTCTGTAGGGAATGTTTATCGATTGGAAAAGTCAATAGTAATTGTCCTGTAATTTTTTGTAAGTGAGACAGGAAATCTCCCTTTAAACTACGGTTATATAAATGTTTACTATTGTTACATCTACTTTTGTTTTTAATTTCTAAGTGCTGATAGTATAATAAATTCGCGTTTTATCTAAGAATAATGACTGACTTTACTAATACCTTATGTCGTACTCTTATTTGTCATCAGATAACGTGTCCTTATGGAGATCCCTGTTTTTGATGATCCTACTAATGAAGCCAAATATTGGCGACAAAAAGCTGAAGAGTACCGTAGTGGGTAAGCTTTATTTTGCAGTGTTTGCATTCATACGATAATAAATAGTATGGAAGAAGCGAGAGAGGAGCTGGAAGACTTCCAAATTAGTTCAAGAGAATTAGAACTAGAGCTTGAAACACAGTTGGAACAATTAGAAAAGCGTAATTCAGAGTTAGTTGTAATGTGCGAAAAACTAACTGTTGAAAAAGATACCTACCGTGTAAGTGTAACAACATTGATGTTTTGCGACAGTTGTTCTGGATAAAAGTTGATGTTTTTGGTTTTTTTTTCTATTTGTAGCATAAAGCGGAAAATAATCAGGAATATGTTAACCATGAAATAACTAGACTTCAAGATGAATTAGAGAAGTCGAAATTAGACCGAGAGAAAATGCACAGATATATCCGGGAACTGGAGCAGTTAAACGATGATTTAGAACGTTCGAAAAGGTAATTTATACATCGGACTCTCTAAGTTTGCTTATTATAGGGCAACAGTCGTTACATTGGAAGATTTTGAGTCCCGCTTAAACCAGGTAAGACTATGCTCGTGATAAATACTTATTTTTACAGGCTATTGAGAGAAATGCATTTTTGGAGAACGAATTAGACGAAAAAGAGGATCTAATGATAACCGTGCAACGACTTAAAGACGAAGCCAGAGGCAAGTGTCGTAAACTTTAATAATCGGTCTAATAATTTGATTTTACCTCTCAGCTCATAATTGTATTTTACAAAGGTCATTATTTATGGTTTTGTCTTACGGATGGGTTTATAGGTAGACGTAAAGGTTGGATTCTTTTTATTTTTCCCAAATATATACGTATTGTGTCGGGATGTACCAGTTAGCTACGTTGTAATCAGCTCAGATAATTGTATTGTCAGAAATTGACGATAAAATTCACAGTCTCTCGTTTCTTACCAGTATAGTTATAGAGTCACCCATGAATTTCGAATTTTCTTTGTGATATTTTCACAACTGACATCTTTAATGTAAATGATATATCTTTCGAATAATATACAACCTTCTACTGATGGTTATAAGTTCTATAAGTTCATTTTTTCCCAAGCACCATGATGTGATCAAGATTTCCCTATAGTACAGTTGTTAAAAGCACTTCATCTTTAAAATTAAAAAAAAACAGAGATTTAGGCATATTGGTCATTATTACTTGGTGAACCTAGTCAAGGGCAGTATCTTTCTAAATATTCTGATTTGTATAGATTCAAATGTTTGTAATCACATTATTGTGAATAGGCTCTTGTCAAATTAAATAACCAATAATTATTAGCCTATTCACTGAATACTTGGGTGTAAACCACAATATATGTTTGCGCATTACTGATACTACTTAGCCACCCAAATCGAAGTGGTCAGTCAGTCAGCTACAACGGAGGATTCGGTACGTACGTACATTGGTCCAAGTTGTCATACCAAAATTAACATAAAAAGATGGAATTGTCAATTCAAATTGCACAGTAGTAGAGGTAGTATCATTATTAGCAGTAATTGAGATTAGAGATCAAATAAATGATTTGAGAAGTATAATTCAGTGAAATAAATTTCAAAAGAAAAAAACAAATCGTGAGAAATTCAGAAGATAGGAATTTGAGAAAAAACAGAGAATGGATGCATCTGTACAATTGCAAACGATTTCGAGACATGTCATTCAAAATCTTTAACCACTGGTTACTATTGTCTCGCGAACCCCAACCAAATAGTCTACACCTACACCTAACATGGCCCGAAGTGGAGCGCAGTTCGAACCTGCGGCCATAAATCGAACTCCTTAATCACTAAGCTACCGCTTCTTTGTCAAAATAGATGATAAAGAGATGTCATAAAATTTAGATTTCCGATTCGACAAAGTTAAGGTGACCGTGTAGATTTCATCAAGCACTCCGTCTGATTTACCAATGTGCACAATTCCGTTTGTTACATTCGACTGTTATCTTGAATCAGTGCAGGTAGTTTCTTTTTACTTCTACCTGTTTTGTCTGTATTAAAACAGTAAAAAAAGAATATAACTCCAGTTTCTTAACCAGCCATTTGTTCGCAACCCATGTCTCTTGATAAACGACGACGATAAGTATCAGGAAATATAAATGTACAAAGAATATGCTCCGTAAAAGTGATAATATTTCTGGAACCAAGTTTGAAGATAAACTTAGGTAAACTGAATATATAGTATCCATTCTCGAGAATTGTATTCGGTGAATGAGATTCATTAATCGCGTGCAACCTTTTGTGTTCACATGTTTCTGTCAGTTAATTGCTTACTTACGTCTGTTACCCCCAATGGAGCATAGGCCGCCCACCAGTTTTCTCCAACCAACTCTGTCCTGGGCTTCCCTTTCCAGTTCTGTCCAATTTTTGTTCATTCCTCTCATATCTTTCTCTATTTCTCGGCATAGCGTGTTCTTAGGCCTTCCTCTTTCCCTTTGATCTTGAGGGTACCATGTGAGGGCTTGTCTTGTGACGCAGTTAGGTACTTTTCTTCTTCCTGATTTCCAACTCCTCTGGAATCTGGTTTGTTCTCTCCCACAGTACGTTGTTGCTGATGGTGTCTGGCCAACGAATCCGAAGTATTTTGTGTAGACAACTGTTAATAAACACTTGTGTCTTCTGGATGATGGCTTTGGTAGTTCTCCAAGTTTCTGCTCCATACAGTTGAAGTGTCTTGACATTTGTATTGAAAATCTTGATTTTGGTTTTGGTTGAAAGTTGTTTGGAGTCCCAGATATTTTTCAACTGTATAAATGCAACCTTTGCTTTGCCAATCCTCGCCCTCACATCTGTATCGGATCCACCTTGGTTGTCACTTAATACATGAAGATTAATAATGCTATCTGTATTTTGTAGTGATGAGTTTGCTGAGTGTTTTTAGTAATATTTCTGGCTAATTTGTTGATATTTTCTTTTATCCTTTTTACAGATCTCCATCAAGAATTGGCCATTACTCGCCGTCAACCAGAATTAAGCTCTTCAGAAGTCTGTAATGGAGGTTATACCATTCCTACTAAAAGTGTTAATAAAAGTGAGATAACTTCGCACTGTCTACATATTTATGCATAAGTTGTATCACGGAATGTTAATTGTCTCTTAAAATATTGTTATGTCTGGCGTAATAGTGTATCATTGTATGCAGTTTGAAAGCAGTAATTTCTAAACTCCAGACTTGTTAACGAAGTTATGGTTTATTCAAAATAAATGAGGTTACTAAATTGATATGCCACATTCTGTTGGAGTATGTTTGTACACATTGTTTCGTTTAGTTTTTCATAGGTGAAATGTAGTTTATAGGCCCATAGATCATTACATTGTTTAGATAATATATGGTTTTGTGAGGAAGGGTTAACTCAAACCGGATCAATGTAAAGACCATTAAAGTTGTCGTTTTAACAAATGATGATGTTAGTTTTATACTTTATACCCATATCTTTTAGTAAGGTTTTTTTCATGATTATTGTTTTCTAAATTAGTTAACTCTTTTGTGATCATTATTTTAAGTGTCTAATGTAATTTGGACAAACTGTTCATTCCTTATGAATTTCCTTATTTTTGCATTTTCATGCTCTCTGAGCTTTAAATCAAATCAATTGCTGGCCAGTGGGATAAAGAATTAACTATACCCTAATTAGTAGTTTGGGATTGAAGGACATGTCTCATCATTGTTACTTCCTTATCTCCATCCTTTTTGCTCTTCGTCTTATTTATTCCATTTCATCTTGCTAATGTGGTATAGTAACTTGAACCAATGTACATCTGTGCCAGATTCTTCGTTGATGATGAACTGGCTGACTGATTTTATTATCGATTTGGTGTACTGACTAATTAAAGTCTGATTTTGGTAGTCATAATTGTAACTGGTGATGACAAAGCTGTTAAGATGATTGGTTAAGAGAATTAACGACTAATAAGTATAACTAACTCTTATGGATTATACTTGAATAATGATCCCTCATTGAATTTACATTAGTATAAATTCCTAGATAAGTTTTTGATACATGATTACTCTTAATTGCATGATATTATGGGTTTTTGCTGCCAAGTTCACTGTCTTTCGGTCATATTCTCATCCGACTGAAATATCATATATATAATGATTAATGTGGCTTCAAATACATCAGCACATAGCCCAATTTACATGCTAAGCACTTTGACCATCTAAATATTTCAGTTTATTTTATTTTGCTTATTTCAAAATAGATTTCGAGTTTATCTCAGTAGATTACTTCATATGTTGATAAAATAAACTAATGATCTGCCGTTTCACAGCTAAAATCAATTAATTCAGCCAGTTAAAAACTGCTAATAAAAACAAGGTAAATAAGTGATAACCTTTCCAATTAATATATAACCTTCGGAATTTATCTTGACATTTTGTTGAACATATTCATTTTATGAAAACACGTAAATCTGTCTGCTATGTAGTAATATCTATATATAGTGAAGCTATTTATTTCTCTACACAGTAATATTCTCATATTCTAGGTCAAGGCACTTTCAAAATCGTTTTCTTCATGGAATTGTATTGGCTAAGGTACTATTAGACACCTGGCAGCATTCAGTAAATGTTTTAGCATAGTTTGAGATTTCTTTGTTATGTACATCCTTGACCTTACACGGGATCAAGTACGAGATATTTATACGTGGTCCCAAAGAAGATATACCAAGATCACGGAGTCAGAATTAGATGCCAAATATTTCCGATTTCAATCAGCTAGTGACAGCGCGATGAAATTCACCTCAATTCTATTTATAGAATAATTCTTTAGTTAACTGATCTGTTGATATTCATTCAATACAAATACAGTTTCTGTCACTAAAATTAGTTGAGGTGCTATTCGGAAACCTGTGCTTTCACTCTACAAAACAGTTAAAGTCATTTTATTTACTCAGTTGGTTCTGTTTGAGTGTATTTGATTCTCTCTTATTCATTTACGTATAATGATCATTTGTCATGATAAATGTTAGATGATTAATTGTTGTTGGATTATCTCATCGTAAAATGATTAACAGTGTGGCATGTGTCAGCTACTGTTTTGTGGTTAATATGTTTGGACGTTCATTATAATGCATGAAATGTGCATATTTTTTATTGTTTTCATTATCAGACTAAAATACTGTAGTAATTAATTAGATGGTACACCATTCACTATTGGTAATGACTTCCTCGAAAATGGTTAATGATAATTGTTAACCTGTTTAACTGTCTCATTTCATACTGTAAATTGAATAAGATAATTGAAAGCGATTAATACCGTTTCGCTATAGCATCATATGAATCGTTGTTATGCGTTTGAAAACAGTCGGGCTAAATATTTCAGTTGTTTATCGGATACAAGTTTTTTAAACATAACTACCAACTACACTGTTTGTACAAAGCCTAATTTTACCATCCGGCTGTCCAGACCTAGTTAGGTAGACCAGGGTTCGAACCTGATATACTGGTTGAAAGTTGATTATTTCAGACTGTTACCGCCCTACTAAATGCATGATTTGATGTTGTTCTTTTCTACACTAACTTTATGATTTTACTAGAATATGAAGGTAACAAGTTATTGATTGCAGCTTGTGTACCATCAAGAACAAGTTCTACGATTAGTGGGACGATCTCAAGAAAGTGCTTTCAGCAGATATTGTGGTGCTAGTTGGATATTTAAATGTACAGGTTTGACGTCCGATCACCGAAGAGTTGTCTGAGTGTCCAATTGGGACTTGTTAGTCACAGGTCACATAAAGGCAACCATCTAATGCAACTTTCCCCGTACTATATCTAACTATTGACATGACCACCACTTGTATGTTACCTGGATTCCTCCCTCTGCATCTGAAGCCTGTACTGAGATTGATCACACTGTGATCAGCTACCACTGGTATGATTGTGCATAAGACTGTCACTCCTTCTATAGTACGTTTATGGATTCTGATCATGCTCTTGTTTGCACTAATCTTATCTTCCGTCCCGGTAGCCAACAAATTCACCATCAATGTCAGTAAGTTGGCTCAAACCGATCTAGGTTCAGTACTAGGTATCAACCCACCGAAAAATACAGTTGGTTACTGGCTACCTTTTCGTGACGTTATGGAAATGACGAGTGAAGTCGCTTTTGCATTTGCAAAGCGCCCACTCATAAGTATTGGGTTACTACAGACTCCTTGCAACATGTTGAGGCACGTCGATCAATAAACATTTGATGAAAATATGCGAACTTTGCGTAAGGACCGAGAAGCTTGATGATCGGAGTGTGCTATCTAGTTGTAAACAGCAGCTGCATCTGGTGACTGTCGAATGCCCTTTCAACTAATATGAGGCATTGGTAGCAATAAGCATGGTGTTAGTGAGTCAATCTGTGAAGCTTATGAGACAACGACCAACAATATCTTAAACGATCTTTAAAGTTCTTCGTGGAGTAGTTCAGCGAATCTGTTGTCTCAACGATATCAACTGGAATTTTCTGCCCCACCTGACCAGTGTCTATTGACCGACCCAACAAGGCAGACGTCCGCAAGGAACTCCAACTTTTGAAGGGCTACAAATTAGCAGACCCAGATGACTTACCTCCGGTCCCTGATTAAAAAATCAACTCAGTTGCTTGGAAAGTTTGGGAATTAGGGCGCATTATGTGGCTCATATTTATTCTGGTGTCTCTAATACTAATAATTATGTGCTTATATAAATAAATCTTACAAGTTGTCAAACGTTCTTAACAACATATAGCTGACGTCATTAAGATGATTAATTTACTTATTCACAATAGCCTGCACTTGAATTTTTCTTACTATGCAACGTTCAGATATCTTGTGATTTATGTGGTTTCTATCGATATATCGTACATACTTTATTTTACTTGTCTGTTTCCAAGACGGCTGGTAATATTATTAAACCGTGTAATTATGACTTGTCTAAAAATCTGATATGCAATATGTAACTAGTTTTTAAGTGAAGCATTTTCTGTTCATGAGGACTGCAATTTTCTTTTTATAGACTTGTATTATTCCATTGTTTCTATGGGTTAGGATTTAGGTAGTTTTCAAAATATAAACTGTATATATATCAGTCTATCTTTGCATATATATATATACGTATTTATTTAAGGGTTTAAATTCTGTGAACTAGTTTTCATTCTTTTACTTTCCAGGGCGCCTACGTTCCTGCTTTTATTGTAACACTGTATAATACATGTTTAATAATTATTGTTGTCTGTTTAGATATTATTTTCCTTTTCTTATATTCTTTTACTGTTCTTAATAATATCATGAAATTATTCTCATTGTTACTTTTTTTGTTCAATCATGAATTTAGCGATTGTTAACCCATTTTGTTTTCTGTTAAAAACACTTTCACTTACTTCATCTCAAACTTCAACTCTTTTTCTTCTTCTCCTGCATTGTATGTCAAACTAAAGAAAATTGCATAGATGTACAATTTATTTCAAAAGTTATTTTTTTCAAAGATTCTTATCAGATTCTATTTTTCTAAACAAAATTGTATAATTTACTAATTAATGAAAAATATCAGTAAAAAGATAGTGAGTGAAATGTGGAAATCAAAAAATAAAAATAATGAATACGAAACACGAATTTACGTATATATATTTGTAAGTATGTAATTCATGTAATTTTTCAATTAACTAGTTCTTATTAAACACATCTCCCATTGTAGCATATGTACTCCTTATCACATGTTCACCTTTTTTCTTTCTTTATCCATCGCTCTCTCTCTCTCTCAAAAATGTTATCATTCACATAATGTTCGATTGATGTACATATTTTGCACTGCTATTTTTTTCAAACAGTTTTTTGGTTTTCATCAATTCATTCTGTGCATGTGCATTGTGGCACAATTCTCTGTTAGTTTATTATTTGTTGTTCCCCCAATTTGTTGCATGTTTTTATGTATACATATGACTGTGTGAGTGTGTGTGTGTGCTTGTTTGTGTACGCGCAAAAAAGAAAAATGCTTTCGTCCCTATGTGCGATAACTCTTTTGATGTGTTCATTTTCAATTTATGGAATAATAATAATAATTGT